TAGCGTGATCTGGTAGCTCCCTACTGGAGGACAGCTCGGAGGTTGGGCTAGTGATGTCGCCTGGTCGAGCTGCAAAACATGGCTGACAGAGTGTCTGGGGTGCTTTACCCGGTGTGGACACTCCGATGCTTAAGTTAACGATGTGGAGATTTGAGAGAGCTGAGAGCTTAATTGTAAGGGAATTCGAGAGCTAAATCACACGTACCCTATGAGGCTGGAGGCGAGACCTTTATATAGGCAAGTTGTCATGGACCTCACAATGTGTGTCCGAAATCGTCAGCCCATCTAGTCCAGAGTTAGTTTCGCACCCAAAGATGGACTCCAAGTAACCTGATAAGGCTTATCCAGGTCCATCCAAATCAGGCGGGGAAAAGATACGATCCGTTGGCGTATGCCGTGATCCCAAGGAGATCGGAGACAGCCGGCTTGCTTCTAGAAGGAGGTTATGTGGCACCTTGGCATGTCGGTGCATGTAGCTGAACTACCCGGGCCTCGGTCTACTGGGTTACCCGAGATGCCTGAGGTGACTGGGATCGCTGAGGTGTCACCACATCATTTCGTCGCTCCATGTGTCATCACATCATTGGACTAGCCAAATTACCCCTCATCAATTGCCCCCCACTCCCAAGCCCGACGTGGTCAACTTGGGGCGGAAGTATCATCATGCTAAATAGATTTGGCCCAGTCTTCAGTTCAACCGTGGTTCAACCAATAGTTCAAACCTGATTGACTCAACTGGTTCCGACCTTAGGGGGCGAGGTCGCGTCTCGGGCACGCACGGACGTCACACGAAGATTAAGCTCCGCGGATGTCAAAAAACACTCAACTGTTTTCACCTCAAAATATGAACAATCGCACCCTTGGTAACTATTGGATCTGTTCGATCTAGACCATTCATGCTCAGCTTAGGCGGTTATAAATAGGGCCCTTGGGGACCCATTTCTTTCGTCCCTTCTAAGCTCTCGTGCGTATTGAGGTCGCAAAGCATGATGTCATCAGTGTCTTCAATCAGATCGGTGAGGTTGGTCATTTTGTTCCTTAGGTGAGTCACCTTCCTTTGCTTTCTTTCCTTGTTCTTTTCCATTATGTCGAGTGGTGAGTCCAGTGAGGAGAGAGGGCAGCCCGATCAGGCCAAGGTGGGGTCCTCAATCCAAGACCAACGAGGCTCCCATAAAGGGGCTTCGTCTTCCCGTTGGCCACCTAGGGCCAAGGTGCCAGACCACTTTGGTCCTACTGAACTGTCTGTTGAGGAGATTCATGGTCTCGCGGCTCAATATAGGATCCTTGACCACTTCGGTTACTTCCTTCCTATTGGGGCTTTCCCTTGGGAGCATGATGAGGACGAGGTTGCCGTCTTCGAGGAGGCTCTGAAGGCGGTTCTCCGGTTTCTGCTCCATCCTTTCATTCTCGAAGTCTTGAAGTATTGTAATGTCAACCTTGATCAGTTGCACCCAAACTCCATCCACACCTTGATCGATACAATATCCCTTTGCTTCAATACCAGCCTTCCTCTAGATATTAAGACCTTTTCCAGCCTCTACCAAATAAAGCAAAACCTTACTAGCACCCCGAGCAAGGTTAGTCACTACCTGTCTTACTGGCCCGAGTACAAACTTCTGCATGGCTTTCCATCTAAAGTCACGGCCTAGAAGAGTAAGTACTTCTTCCCTGAGTTGTCCAATGGGTGGTCCTTCCCGATGCATTGGAGAAAGGGGGTGAGAGACAACGGGGAAGATCTGAGCAAGCAAGTGCAGGCCAGAGTGCGGAACCTTGTAGACCACCAACTGATGCTGAGTGACTTTCTGGCTGAGGAGAAGCTGATTTAAGCCAGGTTGAGTCCTCCTGGTAGGTCATTGTCTTAGGTTCGGGTGTTCACTTTTATTACTTCGTTTTGGCTTGACTAACTCTTAGTCTTCTTGTGCATGAGACATGTCAAGCATTCTGACTATCAAATTTCTTCAGAGCATGAGGAAGAGGAAGAAGAGAAAGGTGGCCCACAAGGAAGCACCTCGAGCGTCGTCTCTTGAGCTCATAGCGCCAAGTGTTGTCGAGGCGGTCCCGGTGGTCAACCTAGTCAAAGAAGATCAAGCAAAGAGGACCTCGTTGGAGACTGTGGCAGCCCAGACATCTGAGGCGCCCTCTACCACCCAAGGCCCCGACGACCGGTAGTTCGGGAACTGAGGACGTTCCTAAGGGGAGGCAGACTATCATGCACTTTAGGACCACCCTAATCAAGAGCAAGGAGTTCGTCTTCCCCGAGGAGGTCTCTGATCTTTCTGAGGTGCGCACTGGCGAGCTCGACAGCAAGGTCGTGTGCTCCCTCATGATGGTAAGTTTCCAACCTCCTCGTCGTGCTATTCCCGCTTTGCGTTCTATACTTAGCTCCTGCTTTCCTTTGTAGACGAACACCCTGACCTACTCCCTTTGTCAAGCAATCTGAGCGGCATCTGGCGAGGGTTGAAACTACTGAGGCAGTAGCGAGTGAGTACCAGTCTCAAGTTGAACGGGTTGTGTCCTTCATCGGCGAGCTAAAAGACGAGCTGGTCACTAATCGGAACCAAAACAATGAGCTAGAGATTCACGTCAAGAAGCTCAAGCAGGAGTTGTAGGAGAAGGACGCTCTCCTCACTGAACGCGAGGCACAGCTCCTCAACGTGGTCCAGGCTTCCAAGGTCTGAGTTGTCAGGGAATTCAAAGTTTCGCCAGACTTCCTACATGAGAGGGAGGAGTTTGGCACCGGCGCTTTTCGTCAAGGCTCCAAACTATGCCAAATGCTAGTGAGGTCAGTGTACCCCGAGCTTGATATTTCCCCAATCAAGTCCTTGGCCTGTACAAATGATATGACAGATCGGGTCGATCTGGAGCCTGACAAGAAGACGAGATCGACAAGGGAGCTGTAGTTGGAGCCAATGTGGATGTTTTCGAAGTGGATGCTACTGATGTGGTTGGTGATGGGGACGAGGAGCCCCAAGACGTCTGAATCATCTTTGCCTCTTTTCTTGGACCCCCCCTTTATATATGTAAAGTGCTAAGCCTCCAAGCTCAACCTCAAAAAACTTTTTCTTTTTTTTTATAACGATGTAACTATTGTTTATCATCAATAAAGTTTCCTTTTTGCACACCTCTTGTCTTTCTTCTTTAAAACTGAAACTTCACAAAAATATACTAAGTATGGGATTATAACCCAAGGTACCTAGGTGCTGAAGCAACTAGGCATAGTATGGGATAATAACCCGAAGTGCCTAGGCATACCGAATTGCCGACGTCCTTACTAGGACGACACAGGGGGGCCTTTAGGCTAAGAGCGACTTGGCATCCCCTTTCAGATGTAGTTTAGCCGACGTGCTCCATAATGCAGGTCAGCTCAACTAGGTCGTCGAGGCGGGTGGTCTCTTTTACACTTAGTGAAAGTTTGAGAAGTTTGTGAAGTTGCGTATGCCGAACTCTCAAGCTCAAAGGTAGTATCTCCTTAAGTTATCCACGTTCCAGGCACGGGGTATCTACTTCCCCTCAAACATCTTGAGCTCATACGTTCCTTCACCGAGTACCCTTAGTACTCTGTAGGGACCTTCCCAATTCGGTCCTACCTTATCTACACAGGGCTTAGGTACCATCACTTTCCGAAGTACTAGGTCGCCAACTCGGAAGTGGTGCCTCTTGATTTGGGCATTATAGTACCGAGCTTCTCGTTGTTGGTAGGCTGCGGTCCGGATATAGGCCAAGTCCCAGACTTCTTCCACTAGGTCAAGGTTGGTCTGCAACTCGTTGTCGTTGGTCTCCTCGTCGTATGCCTTAAACCGTAAGGTGGGCACTTTGATCTCGGTAGGGATGACAGCCTCCCTCCCATACGTCAGATTGAAAGGGAGTCTCTCCGATTGTCGTTTTGGTGGTAGTTCGATAGGCCCAAAGAACGCTGGGCAACTCATCTACCCACAAACCCTTAGCTCGAGAAAGCCGAGCTTTAAGTCTGCAAAGGATTGCCCTGTTCATTACCTTGGCCTGTCTGTTTGCTTGGGGATGAGCTACCTAGATGTCTACTGGATTATTTCCAACAGACATCTCTCTCTCATTATTCTAGTAGCGCCTTGCAGGAGGATAGGTCGGACGTCGAGCTAGTGATGTTGCCTGGTCGAGCAACAAAACAAGGCTATCAGAGTGTCCGAGGTGCTTTACCTGGTGTGAGCACTCTAATGCTTAAGTTAGCGATGTGGAGGTTGTAAGGGAATTCTATAGCTAAATCGCACATACCTTGTGAGGCTGGAGGGTAGACCTTTATATAGGCAAGCTGCTTTGGGCCTCACGATATGTGTCCAAAATCGTCAGCCCATCTAGTCGAGAGTTAGTTTCGCACCCAAAGATGACTCCGAGTAAGTTGATAAGACTTATCCAGGTCCATCCGAATTGAGCGGGGAAAAGATAAAATCCGTTGACATATGCCATGATCCCGAGGAGATGAGAGACAACTTGCTTTCTTCCATAAAGAGGTTACGTGGCACTTCAGCAGATCAATGCATGTAGCTGAACTACCCAGGCCTCGGTCTAGCTGGGTTACCCAGGTGCCTGAGGTGACTGGGATCGCTGAGGTGTCACCACATTATTCCATCGCTCCACGTATCATCACATCATTGGACGAACCAAATTACCCTCATCACTGTTCACCTGCAAAAAAGTTGAACGCAAACTGCATTCCAACTCCCAACAGATTTTAACAAAAGATGTTCTACCTTACAACGAAGACAAGAATAAAAGTAAAAACAATGTAATCACTGTGAGCAGAGACCAAAAGGTTAATCAAACTAAGAAAATAAAAAACATTATATCCATTTGAATCAGACCAATGTTCCACCTTCGAAACGGATCATCACCACTTACATTTGAACCAAATTGAGCTTCGACCTTTGAAATAAAAACAAGTGCGTAGAACCCAAGTTCGAAATTTGTGAAAGATAAAAGGAAATTTTCATTTCTATTAATTTACTCAATTAGATGGGATGAAGAACCTGTAGAGGGTAGCGTTCGAGGGATCCTTTTTAATAGCCTGGGTGTAAAGAGCAGCGGCTTTGAGATAGTTCCCGGCTTTGAAGAATTCGTTGCCCTGATCTTTCAGAGACAACCCACCCCGTTCTTCTCCTTCTGATTTCACTGCTTCAGCCATTCAGATGCTATGGTAGTTCTGTGACGCGTTCGTGTTGAGGAGTGAGAGCTTCAAGTAGGGAATGAAAAGAAAGCAACCCCCAACCCAACAAACTATCGTTTTAACTTCGACGGTATACCGCGCTTTTGGGTCTATCTAAGACGAGATCTTAACCGTTCGTTTTGACGGTTGGGAGTCGGGTATCATTGTATGATCGTTTGTATCAAAGGGAAAGGCTTGGGCGGGCGCACAATGCAATTGCTAGGGTGAACATGGGCCGGGCCGGTCCGGGCTTAGCACCACGCCACCAAACCAATGATAAGCGTCATAGACCGGGCCTGGGACATAAAACCCCATCACCCCAAGCCTGAAGTGCTTGGGACCGGGCCGGCTCTATGCAGGTCGGGGACAAGCTTTAGGCCTATATCACTTTATACACTATATTTAATACATATACACAAATATAAAATATTATTATATAATGTATATTGTCATTTTATAACTCACTAACAAATATGCAATTACATTGTATGTGGCAATTTTAGTATCCTTACCAAAACCCGTTAAAAAAGATAAATAACCAAAGCATAGTGTATTTGTGGATTTAAATTTTATATTTCCTGTTCATCGTTAATAAAAAAAAATGTTTCTTAATTGTCATATTTATTTTTTTTAATATGATAAATATCTAATATTAGAAATGTACATATTTTTTTTGTGTTTTCTATAGCTTTTATTTATCTCTATTTTTGTGCTTTTATTATATAATTATTACATCATTTGTTGACCTATTTGACTTGAAAGAAAAACTATCTCATTTTTTGGCAAGTTTAAGTTTTCTATACCATTTTCATAATTAATTCTAGAAGTAACTCTTGCTTTTCATGCTTATCTTTGTTTTAATATGATATATTTATAATATTTTAGATATATCAAAATTTTTTATAACTTTTATATGTTTTGTGATTTCAATTTCTATCTATTTAAAATTTTTTATTATTTAATTATGACATTATTGGATGATTCATTTACCCAAACAATTGGACTATTATGGTGCAAGTCATGTAGGTTGGGTCGAGTTTAAGCTCAACCCAAGACCAACCCTATGCATTGGGCCTAAGGCTCAAGCACAAAGTCAAGCCTGATCTATCCACTCTAGGGCCAACCTACATTGAAATTTGATGCACTTGGGTTGGGTTGGGTTTGGACTTGCCGACTTGGTTTTGTCAACCAGCTCCACAACAAAATTGACATAAAAGTATATGTGTATGTATATGTATGTGCATCCATGTTTGCAAATATGTATCTATATATGCATATATTATAGTTAAGCGTGGCAAGAGCTACCTAAGGACCACACTTGGGGCTCAATCCAAAAAATAGAAAAGCCCAAACTTTTTGGTCTACACTTAAAATCCAAGTCAGTTTGTCTAAAATTACAAGATGGGTCAATTTGGGCTTAAGTTAAACTTTCCCAAGTTGCACCCCTATGGGTCATTGGCCATCAATTAGATGCAAAAGTAGTTTCCCTTTCAAGTTAGTTTAATTTTTTAGTCTATTTCCACCACTACTAAAAATAACTCCCATTCATCACTTTTTTCTGTGTTTAATATGATGAATACATATATAATAAGAGATGGACTCAAATGTATTTTGCAAAATTTATACTTTTTTAATATTTTTGTGTATTTATCATTTTTAAAATTTTTATTATTTAATTATGACATCATAGGTTGACCCATTTGGCTTAAAAGGTCGAATTATTGACCTACCACTTGAATAGGAAAATGGCATCGTTTCTAAGTCAGTTTTTAATTTTGTATTTCATTCCCATCACTAATAAAAATATTTCTTGTTTATCATACTTATTTTTATTTTATATGAAAAAATATATAATACTAGAGATGTGGCTATTTTTAATAATTTTTATCTTTTTATTATTTAACTATGAGACTATTGGTGACCCATAGGAGACAAATGCTTGAACTACTTACTCACTACCTAACCGAAAGGGCAGTTTAGTTTTCATGTTGGTTTTGAATACATAAGTATTATATTATTAAAATTAGGCCAAGGTTCCAGTTGCCAATATGCTTCATTTGGCATAGGTCTGAACATATCCGCTCTGAGAGCTAACAAACCGAATGGATGTGCTCTGAGAGCTTTTATCTCTCTCTGATGTACACTTAAGATCCAAACAAAAGGGTATTTTATGGATTTTTGAAAAATATATTAATCACGTGATGTTATATGTGACGGAGTGTGACGAAAAGTTAACAACAGGGAAGGTTTTAAACAATTATCAAAAAACTTAGGGAATACTTTAAGACAATGTATAACAATTTTCTAAACTTTAAGGTACTTCAAGAAATTTGTCCTAAGTTTTATAAGTGAAATGATTTATTCCTAATAGTCCCTTTAACTGTTGCAGAACAGTGACAATTGCAAGTTTGCAACACCTCCCATGAACCCAAAAATGGTAGCATGTGAGAGGAAATCCACAAGAAAACCCAACCTACAGAAACCCAAACAAAGTAATTTATTTATTCCTGGATAAAAATGGTGGCATAGGACTCTCAAGATAAACTACATGATCAAGAATGCTGTATGAACAATCCAAAAACTGTTTGAAAGATACTGCAAAGAAAGTTGAAGTGAAAACAAGGTTTCTATAAACAATAGGATTGACCATGGGATCTACAAATTTTGGAATCATAGAGGAAATTAACAAGGAAACCGCTGCCACTGTTTGATGGCTCTCTCTCTTGAACTCCTCATAAGTGTAAATAAGAGGTGGGACAACACTTGTATCTAAAAAGAAAAGATCCAAATCATACAATCACATTGAACCCAATCAGATGGGTTTGGGGAGAGTTTCATAAATCTAGACCCTCTTCACCTCCCTGAACCTCTCAATGCAAACCCTCTCGAAAAACCCACAGTGGTTTTAATTTTGCACTAAGGGTGGGCAGGTCAGGTCCAAAACCTACATCTAATCTCTTATTAGGATAAAATATAAAAACCTCCCCTGAGGTTATTGACAATTATAAAAGCCTCCTTTGATATTTCATTTTAACAAAACTCTTTCATGTAGTTTTGAAAAAAAAAAACCTGCATCACCTCCCTTCTATCATTGTTATGGACCGGGAACATTGGCTTAATGCATTAGTTTTTTAAAAAATTATCTATTTTACCCTTATATTTATCAATTCATTTGAAGATTACTAAAATACCCCCAAAATCTTTCGCTGGGCCATATTAAAAGGAGCAAAGTAATTGTATTTTGTAAATTCATCAACTAGAGTGAAGTCTAGAAGGACAAATCTGACATTTTGAATCATGTAGAAAGATGCCCTTACAAGTGGTAAGGGCAATTTAGTAAATTCTAGGTCTCTATTACTGGAAGTCTAGAACAATGACCTAGGGAGGTAACTGCAGGTTTTTTCAAAACTAAGGGATGCTTTTATTAAAGTGAATTCTTAGGAGAGGTTTCTATATTTTACCCAATCTATTATTTATATAAATAATAAATAAGTAAAATAATATAAATAAACATTAAAATTTCTAATATTTGACTAAAACAAGTAAAACTATCAATTATCCTTTAAATAAAATTCAAACAAAATACACATTAGAAAGGGTTGAATTTAGCATAATATTAAAACCTACCTGTACTCCCATGCGTTGTAAAATCGCTAAAGCCATTTTCCAAACAAAAATGCTTGTCCCATCGAAGTGAATAAGGGCACCTGCCGCGTAAAGTGAAAATTGCCATCATTTATTTTAATAAAATAAATAATAAAATTATGAATTACAAGCATAGGAAGATGTTTATTTGAATTCCCTCCACTACCAAGGAGGGCCCACCTGGAGAAATTTGTCAACTATGAACATGAACAAAGAACAATTGGCTGGTTCCTTCAAGTTTGTCTCCACTCCAAATTCCGCTGATCTATCATCTATGCATGACCAAGGGTCGACAGGAACTCATTTGAACATTGACCCAAGCACTTGCCGAACATAAATGGCATTCTGCAAGATAAATAAGGGCATTTTGGGATTTGATCAATCCTATTCAAACCTGATTGCATGTTATTTACATGAGATTCYTCTTTCTTATTCTTAAGCAAGCCCCCGAGAGGAGTTAGTTGATCCATGATTTATGTTTCATCTTTCGTTTGTTTCGAGAAAGATATAGATCAATTTTGATTTGTTCTTTTTCTATTGATTCTTCTGATCATGATGTATGGATCGATGGATCTATGTGTCTATATAAATCCTGTTCATGGATTAACGAAAATGTGCAAAAACTCTATTTGTCTCTGCCATTCTATGAGTCTCTTCCTTTTTGCGTATGGCATCGCCACTCCCTTTGGCAACATCCACTAATTTGGAACAAAAAAAAAGGATAATAGCATATAAGGAAAACTTTTGGGCCCTAATATCAGTAAAAGTAATAAATAAGTTAACTTTTGAAAAATAATACCAACAAAAGGCGGAGCCAGAGGTGGGCGGAGACAGAGGCAGCGGCGACACTGGTGGTTATTCCTCTGCCCAACGCCGCCGCCTCCACCCATTAGTGCTGTCGCTACCTCTTTCTCCACCCACGTCCGGCAACATTGCCGGAGGCGGAGGTGGCGGCGTTGGGCAAAGGAATGACCACCAACGCTGTCACCGTCGTTTCTACCTCCTCCCACCTCCGGCAACGTTGCCAGAGGCARAGGCGGAGGTGGGCGGAGATAGGCAGAGGCGTTGCCAGAAGCGGCGGCGAATAGCGGCAGGCGGCGGCGCTAATGAATAGATTGCAAGAGGAAGAAGATTAACAGTGATTTTGCCCTTTATTGATATTATTTTTCAAAAGTTAACTTATTTTTTAATTTTTATTAAAAATATTACTTTTATTGATATTAGGGCCCAAAAGTTGCCCTTATATGCTATTATCCCAATTAAAAAAGTAATTTATTAGAACATCCTTATAATTTCACCAATTTATTTAAACCAACCATATTATATTCATTTTACTAAAACACCTCTATAGTTTGCAATATATTTACTTAATCAACCTTTTCACTGAGGTGTATTTGTTTTGCCATGATCACCT